TCTGGTGCCGGAGTGGTTGGGTGACAACGAGGCCGCTCTCCTGCCTCCGGTTCCCGAATGGGTCGGTGGCGACGAGGCCACTCTCCTGCCTCCGGTTCCCGAGTGGGTCGGTGGCATCGAGGCCGCCCTGCTTCCTGCGCCAGAGGGGTTCACCGACGAGGCCGCCCTGCTTCCTGCGCCAGAGGGGTTCACCGACGAAGCCGCCCTGCTTCCTGCACCAGAGGGGTTCGCCGACGGCGCCGCCGTTTCACTAACACCTCCAGCCCGGCGCCGAGGTCGCCCTCCTGATCGGCGTCTATGCTCTCAAGCCCGGCACCAAGGTTGCGCTCCTGACCGACGCCGAGGTTGCGCTCCTGACCGGCGTCTACGCTCTCAAGCCCGGCGCCGAGGTCGCCCTCCTGACCGGCGTCTACGCTCTCAAGCCTGGCGCCGGGGTCGTCCTCCTGAACGGCCCTTCTTTGCTCCTGCCTGATGCTCATAGGTCACCTTGTGTGGCCTCATTTTATTTTAGGACTTGTGGACATGGTTTTGTACCTTTATCATTTGTGGACGTTTTAGTTATGCATGGACTTGGTACTTCTGTGTTTGTTTTGGGGTGACTGAGGGGGTTGTTTTTTGTTGTGGGCATTGTCCCGCCTTCCGGGGTCCCCCTCATGCCTCCCCCCCCTCCCTGCTCTTTTTGCTCTGGGTTGTTGTTGTTTTGGCGGTCTGGGATCCTGCTCTCCTGATTCCTGCCATTAGTGTGTATGTGTACCTGTTCGTCCTGGTCTCCTTAGTCATCACTGCCCTTCCCTTGTATGTATTATGGACCCTGTTATGTTGTCACCTTGTTGTTTTTATTCCATTAAACCTCCTTTTTTTGTACTAGCACCTGGGTCAGCCATCTTGAGTCCAACCCCAGTTCTCCCTCACCCTCCTGGTGAGGGGGACTAAACCATAACATGTACATATTAAACTTATGTAATGTATGTGCGTGTCTGTGCATGTGTTTTCTTTACTGAATGAGCATTCAGCTGCTAAGTGCTACTGAAGTGGCTTAATCCTCAGCTTCCCTGTCCTAACAAGGAAAGCACATTTACACCTTCAGCTGGCAAGTACTCACTCAGTCTCATTTATGCACAAGTCCCCAGGAGACCAATACCTCAAGCGCAAGTACAAAAATACAAAAACATAATTTCCCTCAAATGACATTCCACACTTGGTATTAATGTGTGTAATAATTTGTAGACAATATAGTTAAGTAAAATACATTATAGTTAAGATAAATACAGTGTAATGTTTATCCTTAAGAAAAGAGCAATGCTAACTGACACTAAAAAACTGACCCTGCAAGTTTCATCCTTCAAGCATTTTGCACTTAATTCCATTGAGAAGGTATTTTGACTAGTGTAATCATTTACTTTAAATCATGTCCAAGGCATCAGGTGACTGTTGTAATAAGCTCATTTACATTGTGCAGAAAATAACAAAACTGACAGTATTCACCATGTTGTTGTTTGTAACTGTGTTATTCCTGTGGATAACTGGCAGAATATAATTTGACTATCTTGTTGCTAAGTGGTCATCAAAACTAAAAATGTTTCATTGATTTAAAACAACACAATGATGAGTATACGATTTTTGTGTCAATCAAAATCAAAGAGCAAGAGCTTCTTTCACAGTTTTTTAAAAAAAGAATTCAGAAAGTATTCAAAAAGAAGTCAGCTCCTTTGGGACACACAAAAGGGTAAGTATTGCCTTTTATGAATGCTGGGATGGAAAGTAACACAAATGCATATTGTTTAAAGAGCTATTATGGCATATTATCCCAGTTGAAAAAAAATCTGTGTATATCAAAAAGATTGTATTTCAAGCTTAGAGCCACCATTTTAGATCAATGTTCAACACTATTGCAGTAGGTTTCACAGATCAGAATGCAATGCAGTCATGGCTTCCATCTGTTTGTACTATACAGAATGTCTGTCTTGGGAGCTTTTTGTGATTTCAGTAGCTTGGCCAGCAACATAGAATTCTCCACTAGCTTTTTAAACCGGAAAACTATATTTCTGCTCTGTAGGCGGCATCAGAAATGCATATCATCCCTGATTAATGGTGCGAGTAACATTATGAATGCATTAATGTTCACTCTTTACTGAAATCCAATCCAAGTGTCACTGTTCAAATTTTTTACAGTTTAAGACAGCAGTTTATGCATTCTTGTCACTTAATATGTCACAGTAATGAAATTCTGTAGTTTCAGGTTCTTCTGAAATTTTTGGGTATTACAGTAGCTATTAGGATTACAAAATCACTTTCACATCAACTAACATCAAAAATCATATTGTGATTTATAAATTGTGGTCAGAGCCAATCATTTCACTTATAATGAGATAATTAAAGCACTGGCCAGTTTGGTTTCAAACTCAGTTTCTTATCATTATGCTGTGCTTAAAAGGTGCATTAACTAAGATTTTACACATTGATAAATCAAATAAAAATGAGCCAGGATGTAATGTCTTTAAGGTTTCCTGCACACTACATGACTCTCCATCTACATTTCTTCTATTATTCCAATTTTTTAAACCTATGTTGAGCCTGGTTTGTGCATTAGTCAAATCTGCCACCTAGCAAAGGTTACAAGAAGAGTGAGTTTTTCAAACT